TGATACTGGAAATAAATATTACAAGGTAAATATGGCTTCTGTTATTTTATGCAGGGTTTTTCAATCTTTTCTGATATGAACATACAATGATCAAAAACTGGAGAGATTAGCAGAGTTAGTTAATACTTATTTGTACTACAGTAGTGGTACTTCTTTGAACTGCACTGCTTAATATTTGTTTTTGATGAACCTGAATATGTTTACTTCGCCTCTCACAACCAAGATACAATATAATGTACCCATTAAACCCATTTGAGACCTGACCTATGAACAAAGGGTTCAGTTTCTAACACTCCATCATGCATAATATAAGACTCACATAGATCACTATTTATACAGAGGGGTTATTTTAATGTCATGCATTGGGCCATTAGTGTTCTGATTTAGACTTGTAATAACATAAGTAATGGTTTTTGTTCTCATGCATCCCTTGTTATGGTGGTAGTTGAAGCCTTTGGACATCATAGCAATATAAATGTTAAATTATAAAGGGTTTTTTAAAGTTTTTGTTGTCATCTTCAACCTAATTGGGTCCTAATTTTGGAAAGCACTAAAGCGGCTGTGATTCCAGTGTTATGCTTAAAAGAAGCACACGGGACCTTTTTCAGGGGGATAAGGCAACTCCCCACATTTATTGATAATATAACAAAGTAGCATATGCATTTACACACACACAGACACACACATACACCTCTCTGCTGATGGAATAGTTACCAGTCTGTTGCTCGGCCCAACCTATTGGCCAGATAGGTCGAGTATGAGGGGAGGAGATGGGTTCTTGTCAGTCAACACTAATGCTCCATAGTCTTAGCAGGACAGGAACCCGAAGAACCATACAATACCTTTATAGGATTTTCCTTCCATGCAAGTCTTTGCATTTTGCCTTGTCAGGCCTTAATGAGTCACTCAGCATCACAATCAATCGTTCTACGACATATGCTTAGCGGGAAGAAGTTGTTCTCTCAGTCATTTCATATCCATATGCTGACGACCCCTCAGGGATGTTCTCTTTCCGGCTAAAGTTATCAGTTCCCTATCAAGGGGTGCTTGCCACTAACTTCAAGATTCGTAAATCTTCCCCGGTAGTCTGCGTCTTCAGTGTGCTTTCACTTAGTTGATAATTATTTGGTGGTTCTGAGTCTCTGGCCCCTCCTCTGACCATTTGAGCATGCAGTGGCCTTCACACTTATCTCTCCTAAAACATTATCTCGCCCACACAAACAATACATTTTCAGAATTGCGGCATGGAACAGAGGGGTACTTCTAGTCACTTTAACAAAGTTACAAAGTCTTTCAACATTAAGCTTCTTTCTATCTACTACAAAGCTTTATCACTGTGCTAATACTAATATCACTGTGCATTACAATATTCCTTCCCTTCGCTTTAACATCAGGTCATGCTAACATCAAACAGAGCTGGAGCTAAGTTAACAAAGCTGCCTGACCTGTCTGAGGCCTACATCTTGTGTTTAAGTTTAATCTAAACCTTTTGCTATAGCATACATTCATTATAACTAATTTATTACTTGCACAATTCCAGGGCCACACCAGCACCTTTGAGAAAGGTAGCAATTATTTTTTTGAAGGTAGAGCCATTCTACACATAAGCAGACCTACCCATCCCTACCTGACATTGCCCACTTCATCTCTATGATGAATTCGTATTTATCATTTAGAAGTGTTACTTGATCTTGAAAAGCACAACTTGCAGCGTCCTCCCAAACTTGTGCATTGTGAACTCCAAGTTACAAGGTTACCCTCTGTTTATAAAAACTCAGGGTATGTCTACACTACAGCACTAATACGAACTAACTTAGTTAATTTGAACTAAGCTAATTTGAATTAGCGCATCTAGACATTAAAACTAGTTCGAATTAGCATTTTGCTAATTCAAACTAGTATGTCCACACTGAGTGGACCCTGAACCGAGGTTAAGGTTGGCCGGAAGCAGTGCTGGCAGGGCATCAGATTAGGACTTAAAGCGTGGAGCTGCTATCTTAGGCTAGCCGAGGGCTGTGCTTAAAGGGACCCGACCCCCACCCCGGACAGACAGTTCTCAGGGGTTCCCCGCTTGCAAAGCAGTCCTGGCTTGGAGTTCCCTGAGTGCCCACACTCGGCACATCACAGCACTCAGCCATCAG